TTATTTTTCCTGGTGTACTGTTTGTATGTATGCGCATTGGTGTTGCCGAATACCGGGGCAAAAATATCTGGGGGTAAATTAGTTTGATTTGTCGGCAATTATTAATCGATCACATTAATGTCTTTATTTATATTTAAACCACAATTTCCAGTTCCCCATTTCAGGACTATATTAGAAAATATACGCTATTATAAAATACAATAAAATTATAACAAAGAATTTTTGGTTGATAATACAACATACATTATTACAACATACATTATTTATTATACACGCACAAAGCAGTAATATAAAAGAAAATAATAATTATAATAATAATAATAATAATAATAATAAAAATATATTATATATTCTGGGAATAAATATATATAAAGGCCAAACTCCCAACTTTAGGACAAACATCAATAGTTGAACGCAAAAAATCAATAACACTTGATCTCTCAGCAAAACAAAACAACAGCAAAAAATAACAACTAGTTTCAATAGAAAATTTATTCGAAAAACGATATGCCTTCCCCAAATACTACTGTCATTCCTGCCGCTTCTCCAAACTCAACCAACAAAATGACGGAATATGAAGTTATCGTTTTCCCTGATTCTGCTACCAACACTACTGTTACTACTAGTAATGATGATAACCCTCTTCCATCCCAACAAACTCCTCGAGCTAAAACTAAACATATCACTTATAATGGTCAATCTGGACAAATGTTTTGGATTCCTGAAGGTTATCGTCCGCTCTTAGTTCGTACCGCGGATCTTCCATTGTTGGTTGGTGCAGAATTCCCACTATCGCCTGGATTATCTTCTGATGAAGAATCAAACTAAACACAAAAACAAAAATCAATCGTTACAATTAATGAATGAACTTCCCCACCTCAACCTAATAATCATAAAACATGAATACAAAAAAAAATTTTAATATTTTTCCTTATTCAATTCACAAATATTAATATTGTTTATCGCTTTTTTTTTTACCCACAAAAAAATGAAATTCCAAAATCATTTTTCACAATTAGTTTTTTTTATCTTTACTTGATTCGACTTTTAATGCCGCATTCAAGTATAGATTGTAGATAATGTTACCACACAATTCATAACTTCAAAACTTATTGTTGATATTTTCTTCTCTTTTGGGTGGTCGTTTTCATAAACATAATTCTATCTTGGAAAAATTCTATACCCAAAATCTTGTAATATTTCCCAAACACACCACACACAACTTTTTATTTTGAACATATTAATAACATAGATTTTTTTGTAGAATTTTCTTTTGTAATTACCACCCAAAAAGTATTTTTAATCCATCATTAATTAATATTCTTAATTATCCAATGACTTCTTCTATTGTTAAAAAATTATTGTTAAAAATTAAGTTTTTTTCTTACGGATAATGAAACCCTTTATAGCTTAATCTAAACATCTATCAAAGTGCCTTTTACATTTCATGTAGAAAGCACTTGCTAAAATCAAAATTTTTAAAACTAAATTTTCTTCTAAACTTTTATTACGTATAAGTAATTCTATAAATTCAAATTATTCTGCTTAAGGGAATGCATCGATGCTGTAAAAATCAATCATGTTTAGTCTAAGCTTTTTTTTTTTTTTAATTTATTAGTACATAACATTATAATGTAACAAAAAAAATGTAATTGATAATAAACGACGTTTCTATTAAAAAAGTTCCTAAAGTGCTGTATGCGTTACGTATATAGAGCGCATGATATTACATTTTTCGTGTTAATAGCGAATTTGGTTCAACCAAAAAGATGCTAGAGAGAAATCTGATTGTGATTTTCTGTTTTCAAAGTACCCAATATGCACACCTTTTTTGTTTTGCATGAGGGCCCTTACTGCAAATTATTAAAAAACAAGTTTCATACTGCAAACTGTATTTTAGAAGCAGGTCACAGAAATAATCTGTTACATTCTAGCCCCCAATAAACTTGATTTAGATCAAGGGTTCTCTTATGCGATAAGGGTAGAGTTCGTACAAATATAACAAATGACAGGGAAATGATCTTTCCTTTGTAATAAACTAATTTTTTCATGTTTAAAAGCCTCGTTTATAAGACTTGGTCTGTTATCCAAAATCTTCTATAAATAAGGTGTTTATGTGGTATTTGGAATCTAAATGGAATCCAAACTTATCTTCTCGTGAAATGAGTCTGTTCATGTAATGTAACAAACGAGAATTGAACACATGCCTAATTAGAATTGCGGGAAAAAAACGGGGATTCTATGCATCATAAGATTGATGTTATTGAGCGAAAATTTAACCCCTTAAAACATGCCCAAGCGGTGCGTCTGTTAATCAAAATAACTATATAGAATTACCTTATATATAAATTATGTTACAATCCTAAACAATATTAACTTTCGTTGATGATTGCTATTATTATGTATTTGAGTAAGTTGCACGTACGTCTAACGAGAAAAAATTAATATTTTGTTATTGGTTGTTGGGGTGCGCAAAAAATGAGAACTCATGACAAATATTAAATAGTACGTATTATTTTGTGCGATGGTTTGTTCTTTTCGTGGAAATATTTGATGCGATGTGAATTATTTATGTCGTGGTTAATCAAAGCTCAGGAAATAGGGCTTCATTTTAATTAAAATATTAATGTTTATATATTTGTTTAATAATTAATTTGCTTTTTCATTTTAAAGTAGTTTTTCATTTACAAGTGGTGTTCGATAAACCAATTTAATGTCAATCATGATTCTTTAATTTGCTATCGTTATGCATCGTCTATCTAAATTTAAAAATCCTCTGTTATTTATTCAACGTTTTTCTCCGTGTATCAAAAATTACAATTTTAATATTATTCCAATTATCTCATTGTTGTATATCTTTGCCTAATTCAATTTTAGCATTGATATGTTGAATAACATCACATGAACATTTTGCAATGTCGAAGAAATTGGTTTGTTATTCTAAGATAATTGCCAGGTATGTCCAGCTGCGTTTTGCTGGGTAAGTAATCCGAAAAATCATTCATATCGCGAATTTTTACCTTTCCCGTTAGATATTGAGTGTTATCATTAAAGTATTTTACATCCATTAAAAAGCAAGGATTCTAAGTTCCTGATTCGTTCAAGTTTAGCACTGGTGATTTTGTAATACAGTAAAAAAATTCCCAACCTTTTTTCTATTCTGTATGATATTACAGTTAAAATTGAGTTTTTTGAATAAAGCTTTAATGACCATGTGCAACGTGTGCACATACGTCTCACAAAGATTAAGTCTATGCAGGACTAATATACTTCCCGATAATTTGATCTACTTCCGATGTTTTCATTGTCGACGATAAATGATAATTTTAATATAAAAAAATTATATACTTATTTATTTGCTCGTTGTCATCATAATTTAACTCATGTATCCCTTGTATAATTAAAGATTCATAATTCCACGCATAATAAAATATACGTTGTTCTTTCACCAATTACCTTATGAATAACATTCATTAATATTGTTCTCGTTAATATTGTTCATTCTTTCCTAATCAGAAACTCGGAATTATTGATATTTTTTGACGCGTGAAGAAAATCCTTTTTTGTAATAACCCATGTATACATAATAAATACGTATATAATATTACCATTTTTTGACAAATAAACATTTATTTAATAATGACGTTTTTTGAAATTTCGATAAAATAATTGAAACAGACATTGTTCACCCAATAAAAGATTAACCTACCTACCAAGTAGCTAAAAATAAACAAACAAACAAAACAAACAAAATAATTCTCAGTCCAGTTAATTATGTTGTACTCAAAACTTTATAAACAATCTCACGGGGCGTTGATTTGTCGATTAATCTTATGGCTCACCGTTTTGGGATTAATACTATTGTTGTTGTTGTTGTTGTTGTTGTTGTTGTTGTTGTTGTTATTATTATTATTATTATAATTATTATTCCAAAAATTTAGTTCGTCATCATGTTTAAGATGTGTTCACACGCAGAAAATATCCCAATAAATATGTATGTATGAGCGAATAGACTAAAAATAACAATAGGTTTTTGCGTATTCAATTATCTCCAATACCGAATACCCTTTCCTAGACTTATGTTCCATTTTCGATTAGACAAGGAAAAATTTTGCCGGTCTCTCTAAAGTAACTAGGAAAATCAAGTTCGGGGGAGATCGAAACTCCACGCTACCGCATTGTCGTAAATATTAAAAAATAATGGTTTTTTTGATTTTCGTCTTCATTGTTATAATTTCTTTATTTTGACGATTTGCAAACGATTTGAATCAGACAACGACGAAAATAACATAATTAATTCGCTTTATCTGAATTTATGTTTCAATTAAAAATTAGAACTTTGTCAATTTCTGACGTGTTTACCGTTTATGGTAATAAGGAAGTTACATCGTCGTTGTTCTTTCGCATTGCATACGATACACCAGGAGAAAAAGGATGAACTTTTGTGTGTGCGTTTTTTATATCCATGGGATGTGTTGTCTGTCACGGCGATCTTATTTTTCCTGGTGTACTGTTTGTATGTATGCGCATTGGTGTTGCCGAATACCGGGGCAAAAATATCTGGGGGTAAATTAGTTTGATTTGTCGGCAATTATTAATCGATCACATTAATGTCTTTATTTATATTTAAACCACAATTTCCAGTTCCCCATTTCAGGACTATATTAGAAAATATACGCTATTATAAAATACAATAAAATTATAACAAAGAATTTTTGGTTGATAATACAACATACATTATTACAACATACATTATTTATTATACACGCACAAAGCAGTAATATAAAAGAAAATAATAATTATAATAATAATAATAATAATAATAATAAAAATATATTATATATTCTGGGAATAAATATATATAAAGGCCAAACTCCCAACTTTAGGACAAACATCAATAGTTGAACGCAAAAAATCAATAACACTTGATCTCTCAGCAAAACAAAACAACAGCAAAAAATAACAACTAGTTTCAATAGAAAATTTATTCGAAAAACGATATGCCTTCCCCAAATACTACTGTCATTCCTGCCGCTTCTCCAAACTCAACCAACAAAATGACGGAATATGAAGTTATCGTTTTCCCTGATTCTGCTACCAACACTACTGTTACTACTAGTAATGATGATAACCCTCTTCCATCCCAACAAACTCCTCGAGCTAAAACTAAACATATCACTTATAATGGTCAATCTGGACAAATGTTTTGGATTCCTGAAGGTTATCGTCCGCTCTTAGTTCGTACCGCGGATCTTCCATTGTTGGTTGGTGCAGAATTCCCACTATCGCCTGGATTATCTTCTGATGAAGAATCAAACTAAACACAAAAACAAAAATCAATCGTTACAATTAATGAATGAACTTCCCCACCTCAACCTAATAATCATAAAACATGAATACAAAAAAAAATTTTAATATTTTTCCTTATTCAATTCACAAATATTAATATTGTTTATCGCTTTTTTTTTTACCCACAAAAAAATGAAATTCCAAAATCATTTTTCACAATTAGTTTTTTTTATCTTTACTTGATTCGACTTTTAATGCCGCATTCAAGTATAGATTGTAGATAATGTTACCACACAATTCATAACTTCAAAACTTATTGTTGATATTTTCTTCTCTTTTGGGTGGTCGTTTTCATAAACATAATTCTATCTTGGAAAAATTCTATACCCAAAATCTTGTAATATTTCCCAAACACACCACACACAACTTTTTATTTTGAACATATTAATAACATAGATTTTTTTGTAGAATTTTCTTTTGTAATTACCACCCAAAAAGTATTTTTAATCCATCATTAATTAATATTCTTAATTATCCAATGACTTCTTCTATTGTTAAAAAATTATTGTTAAAAATTAAGTTTTTTTCTTACGGATAATGAAACCCTTTATAGCTTAATCTAAACATCTATCAAAGTGCCTTTTACATTTCATGTAGAAAGCACTTGCTAAAATCAAAATTTTTAAAACTAAATTTTCTTCTAAACTTTTATTACGTATAAGTAATTCTATAAATTCAAATTATTCTGCTTAAGGGAATGCATCGATGCTGTAAAAATCAATCATGTTTAGTCTAAGCTTTTTTTTTTTTTTAATTTATTAGTACATAACATTATAATGTAACAAAAAAAATGTAATTGATAATAAACGACGTTTCTATTAAAAAAGTTCCTAAAGTGCTGTATGCGTTACGTATATAGAGCGCATGATATTACATTTTTCGTGTTAATAGCGAATTTGGTTCAACCAAAAAGATGCTAGAGAGAAATCTGATTGTGATTTTCTGTTTTCAAAGTACCCAATATGCACACCTTTTTTGTTTTGCATGAGGGCCCTTACTGCAAATTATTAAAAAACAAGTTTCATACTGCAAACTGTATTTTAGAAGCAGGTCACAGAAATAATCTGTTACATTCTAGCCCCCAATAAACTTGATTTAGATCAAGGGTTCTCTTATGCGATAAGGGTAGAGTTCGTACAAATATAACAAATGACAGGGAAATGATCTTTCCTTTGTAATAAACTAATTTTTTCATGTTTAAAAGCCTCGTTTATAAGACTTGGTCTGTTATCCAAAATCTTCTATAAATAAGGTGTTTATGTGGTATTTGGAATCTAAATGGAATCCAAACTTATCTTCTCGTGAAATGAGTCTGTTCATGTAATGTAACAAACGAGAATTGAACACATGCCTAATTAGAATTGCGGGAAAAAAACGGGGATTCTATGCATCATAAGATTGATGTTATTGAGCGAAAATTTAACCCCTTAAAACATGCCCAAGCGGTGCGTCTGTTAATCAAAATAACTATATAGAATTACCTTATATATAAATTATGTTACAATCCTAAACAATATTAACTTTCGTTGATGATTGCTATTATTATGTATTTGAGTAAGTTGCACGTACGTCTAACGAGAAAAAATTAATATTTTGTTATTGGTTGTTGGGGTGCGCAAAAAATGAGAACTCATGACAAATATTAAATAGTACGTATTATTTTGTGCGATGGTTTGTTCTTTTCGTGGAAATATTTGATGCGATGTGAATTATTTATGTCGTGGTTAATCAAAGCTCAGGAAATAGGGCTTCATTTTAATTAAAATATTAATGTTTATATATTTGTTTAATAATTAATTTGCTTTTTCATTTTAAAGTAGTTTTTCATTTACAAGTGGTGTTCGATAAACCAATTTAATGTCAATCATGATTCTTTAATTTGCTATCGTTATGCATCGTCTATCTAAATTTAAAAATCCTCTGTTATTTATTCAACGTTTTTCTCCGTGTATCAAAAATTACAATTTTAATATTATTCCAATTATCTCATTGTTGTATATCTTTGCCTAATTCAATTTTAGCATTGATATGTTGAATAACATCACATGAACATTTTGCAATGTCGAAGAAATTGGTTTGTTATTCTAAGATAATTGCCAGGTATGTCCAGCTGCGTTTTGCTGGGTAAGTAATCCGAAAAATCATTCATATCGCGAATTTTTACCTTTCCCGTTAGATATTGAGTGTTATCATTAAAGTATTTTACATCCATTAAAAAGCAAGGATTCTAAGTTCCTGATTCGTTCAAGTTTAGCACTGGTGATTTTGTAATACAGTAAAAAAATTCCCAACCTTTTTTCTATTCTGTATGATATTACAGTTAAAATTGAGTTTTTTGAATAAAGCTTTAATGACCATGTGCAACGTGTGCACATACGTCTCACAAAGATTAAGTCTATGCAGGACTAATATACTTCCCGATAATTTGATCTACTTCCGATGTTTTCATTGTCGACGATAAATGATAATTTTAATATAAAAAAATTATATACTTATTTATTTGCTCGTTGTCATCATAATTTAACTCATGTATCCCTTGTATAATTAAAGATTCATAATTCCACGCATAATAAAATATACGTTGTTCTTTCACCAATTACCTTATGAATAACATTCATTAATATTGTTCTCGTTAATATTGTTCATTCTTTAAATTTTTTAGTTATTCTTGGTGCTACATATTGTGCAACTATTATATTATTATTATTGAATAAATATCAAGACTTAAGCAAGTATGCAGTATATGCATACATATTAAATAGCACGGTTCTTCAATTTCGATTCATGTACGCGCTCTTTTTTCTTTTAGGGACGCGTTTTTTAAGCTATGATCACTAAGAATAAGCTTCATACTTGATGATAATGATAAAAAAGAAACATTAATCTATTGATTGGAAAAGAAGAAAGCATATGAAAACAAAAGCACGTGTTTCAAAAAAGTAAGGAGCTTTGTAATATTATCAAAACCAATTAAATTGATTATTACTGGTGGCTATGCATTTTTATATTTTCCAATTTTATCTTTAGTTTGTGTCTTAACAAATCCTTTATACAGATAAACGCACTCTCTGAAAATACCCACACCCTCTTAATGCCCCTCTGATTCTCTATCAAGTGCAGCAAACATCAAAAACGCGTATAAACATGCATTTACAGAGAGTGTACACTAGAGGGTGCTTTATGGAATGTATAGATCCTAATGTTCTATTTTTTAAATGCACACTCTCTGTAAATGCACGCTTGTATCCGATCCCTAAGGGGTGTATTTATAAATTGTACTTTGTACTATAGAACAAATAAAAATTTTCTTATCTATATATCACAGCAAAGGGTCTACCTCTACCTTCTGCTCGTATCAAAATTTAGTTTTTGCCAAATTTGCTAATTGTCCTCCTGAATCAAATTCCGTCTTGTTATCTGTCTAAATAATTGGCGTATCTATACTTTACTTGATATCATTCATTTTTTTTGAGCCAAACAGATTTTGAAGAAAAATGCATGTTTTTATTAAAAAACAATTAGGTACACACTGCATCAATGAGCGAATATATGATGTGATAAAGTACTTAGTAGTCAGAATATTCATATATAAGAACAATCTATTAAATAAATTCGTTCTTTATAAATTGAATAATAAGGATGTGATATAAATCGAATAAAGACAATTAATAAATGGTTGGTACATTTTGCAATAAGTTCCGTGAAATGTTTAGGAAATTGCACAATGCTCTTTAGTTCCTTATACATTTTTATATACGTGAATTGAAAGATTGAACAGGTAGAATACTGATGCATTCTGACCAATTGAAAAGCCGTTAAAAGTTGTCCAAACCTGAATATTGCGTGCAACTCAAAAGATCCGCATTTGCTGAAGCCTTAAATTTGATTTTATTCAAGCGATTTTAAAATTTTATATCGGTTTTTAAGTACATATGCTTTATTTTATTCATTTTCTCGTGAATTCTATTGTTCTCAAATGCACAAACGCTTATTGGTGCATAATCGAAATTTCCCTAAAAAAGTTCGAGATCTCTCCGATAATTAATTATAAGAAAGATTTTCTCTAAATCATTATTCTCTATTATCACTCGCATAAAAACTCCGCCTTAGAGAGGCTATTGTGTAAGTAGTAAGTGTGTAACAAATATTCAAACAATGATTGTTTAAAATAAAATATAGGTTGCGCAGCATCCGGTATATAATGATTCGATATTCGAAATTCGAATGAAAAGTGCAGTATAGTAACATCAGTCATTCTAAATGGTTGGCGTTTTGAAACTTTATATCCATTTCCGGAGATTCATTCACTTATCTCTTTTGTTTGGGCGGAAACAGCTAAATATAGAGTCGTCTTTGACTTTTTGATTTTAAGTGATACGATCATTGCGTACAAAAATGGACAAGTTCTGTGACACAAAAAATATAATTTTTTTTTACGCGCGTAGAAAGCAAAATTTCATTGCCTTTTCACTTAAAAAAATATCCGGAACCATACTCTTTAGATTTTTAGGTAGCTTATCGGCCATCAGGTTGTGATAAAACCTGCTGTGAATTGTTATGGTAAGTTCAAAAAAATCCATCCTAACATACACAAACAAGAACGCCCACCTATATAAAATGAATGGCAAAGTATGTAATATAACTTGTAATTATGAAAGTATAAAGAGGACTATCTTTGAATCAATTAACCCGATTTTACCATATAAATGTATATTTGCTATATTTTATTGAATGGGGTTTTCCTATCGTTTTTTGCACTCATTTTATTTGTTCTCATGATTTTTTTATATGATGCATAATCGTATCTTTATGTTTCCATAAAAATTCTCCCCAAAAAAGAGAAGACCCTTGACTTTCAAGAATAAATGATATATGAAAATACATTATTTAAGGACTAAAAATAGGGCTATGAATTTTCTATTAAATAAAATACGTGTTTTTGGGTACAATAAGATACGATGGAATTTTTCGA